TTGTCGGCTCTCTGTAAAATACTCGTTTGGACGAGGGCTTCCAAACACATCATAAGCTAAACCTGTGCTGACGAATAACCAACCCGCAATGAATAGGGAAGGTATAGTAATACTATGAATGATCCAGTATCGAATACTGGTAATAATATCAGCAAAAGAACGTTCTCCTGTGCTTCCAGACATGCTGAGCTCCGCATATTCTTGTAGGGGATCGATTCCGTAAAAGATGAGATCAGTAAACGGAAATTCACTGAAATTCAATCTTTGTGAGATCGTCAATATTGTACCAAAGGTATTTTTAGAGTATACCGAATCAGTATAGCTATCCTTCTTCTGACACAGCAACGCAATTTCAAACAGTATATCGACATGAAGTGCTAGATAATTTCTTTCTTCTTCTTGCTTGTCGATGTATAACCACGTATCATGCGATAGAAAATTCCTCAAATTCCTGGAATATAATATAGGGGATTCTATTATTGGTTTGGGGCTAGAAACGGAAGATCAGGTAACCCGTGAATCCAACAAGTTTATAATAATTCATGAAGGAAATTATCATATTTCCGCAAGTCAATTAGATGCGAAATCTAAAAATTGACTTTTTTTCGTAATTGCATAAGAGGTTTTGTTTTTTGTTGTAAGCCCTCCTTTTTTTATTTTAAGGAATTGCTTAGTCGTCTAGTAACAAGTAAGAGTAGTCGATAGTATTAGATATAGATAAAAAAAAGAGCAAGGAATAAAAAAAAAATTCTACTAATCAATATTTGTGAGGCGGCCTTTCTTGTATTCTTGTATTAGATCCAAAGGTTTTTTCTTGACCTAACTACAAAGATGATGAATCTATTTCTTTTTCTTTTCTACTCTTGTCCTGCCGCTCTATTTTTGTGAATACCGTTTAGAATGATTGATGAATCAAAAAATTTCAATTGAACTTATTCTTTCAATTGGTATTTTTGCTTATCCCCGTCTCTTTTAAAAATTGAAACTTAGGTAAGTGCTTTATAAACATATGTATAAAAAGAACATATTTCATTTAGCTCCTTCATGCCTACTCTAACTAGTTATTTCGGTTTTTTACTAGCGGCTTTAACTATAACCTCAGCTCTATTTATTGGTCTGAGTAAGATACGACTTATTTGAAAATTAATTGAATGAACGAACAATTAATAAAAACAAAGTTTTCTGTCCTATTCCATATATTCTATAGTTCCTTACCGTGTTAATTATCAATTATTAGTTATTGATATTCATGGGCAATAGAGATTAATATTTAGGGATAGATATTACCTTTCTTTTTCTCCTTTCAAATAAATTGAAATGATTGAAGTTTTTCTATTTGGAATCGTCTTAGGTCTAATTCCTATTACTTTGGCTGGATTATTCGTAACCGCATATTTACAATACATACGTGGTGATCAGTTGGACCTTTGATTAATTAACATCTCTTTTTTTGACTGACCCCTTTAATTTTAATTTAATTAATTTAATTCAAGGAGGTCAAATTCGAATTGCTGTTCAATTTTTTTTTTTTTTTTTTTTTTTTCAGTTCGGTGTAATTTTCGACTTAACAAGAGCGGAATCACGCTCTGTAGGATTTGAACCTACGACATTGGGTTTTGGAGACCCACGTTCTACCGAACTGAACTAAGAGCGCTTTCTTATCATAATAAATAAGACTGTAAAAAAGAGGATTCTTTTATTTTATAACCCCAATACATCGTGCACACCTATACTATCATATATCATATATAATATGAGAAAATGATAGATTATGTATGCTTAATTTTAATCAATCTAAAACTAAAATGGCTCCCTCCTTACTGCTCAAAGGAGAAGTAATAGGTAGGGATGACAGGATTTGAACCCGTGACATTTTGTACCCAAAACAAACGCGCTACCAAGCTGCGCTACATCCCTTTCAATTGGCCTACGATGTTATTGTAGAGAATCCCTGTCTTGTTTTCCACACCCTTATTTCATCTATTGATATACAAAAATTATCTTTCCATTTCCTCTTTTTGGTCTCATATCATATAACAACCATATAATGAATAATAAATGAATCTTTTTGGCGGGAATTCTCAGGCAGAAAGGGACCTATTTTGCTGTTTTAAGAAAAGGAAAATCTTATCTATCGAATCATTGTACATTTAAATTTTAATTTTGAATTAGGAATTCCGGGTACAAATATACAAATACAAGTGGTCTTTAACCACACATACATGTGATTATATATGTATTACCATAATGTATGTAATACGATAAAGAAGGAGGATTTTAAATGCGAGATCTAAAAACATATCTTTCCGTAGCACCGGTACTAAGTACTCTCTGGTTCGGTTCTTTAGCGGGTTTATTGATAGAGATCAATCGTTTCTTCCCGGATGCGTTAACATTCCCTTTTTTTTAATTCTAGTTATTGTCGCGGGACGGGGTGAAAAAGATTAGATCGATATACAATCAAATATCTGTGACTAATCTCTCGCCCCCCCTTGACTTTAGTTGTTTTTAGAATTATAATTATATAAGAAATGAATTCTAATTATATAAGAAATAATTCTATTTAGTTTTTTTAGAATTCTAATTATATAAGAATTATATAAAATAAATAAGGAAGGTAGAACGAAAAAAGTGGATTGAACCTCAACAAAACTTGGGTTCAAGCTCCAATTAAATTACTAGTAGAGCGAAAAGAGAAATGTGGCTGGAACAACAGTATCCTACAAGATACTTAAAGAAAATACCGTACTGTGATTCTAAATCGAGTTAGAAATCATTGTATTACTTATTTACTATTAGTATAATACATATTGATTTACTATATTGATTGCAATTGATTGCAACGAAATCTTTCAGGATTTGGTTTTGAGTTAGCAACTTTTATTTATTTATTTTCATTCCTTTCTTCTTCACTTTTGATCGGAAAATAGAAGAGTTGGGTGAATTAAAAACTCAAAGGGGGTTCATGGCCAAGAGTAAAGATGTCCGAGTAACGATTATTTTGGAATGTACCAGTTGTGTTCGAAACGTCGTTAATAAGGAATCAACGGGCATTTCCAGGTATATTACTCAAAAAAATCGACACAATACGCCTAGTCGATTGGAATTGAAGAAATTCTGTTCCTATTGTTACAAACATACAATTCACGGGGAGATAAAGAAATAAATCGAATCAAGTACTCGTATGTCAACCCTTCCCGAGAATATGAGAAAATAGGACATTAGGTATTTAGGTAACATTAGGTATTTAGTATGAGAAAATAGGACATTAGGTATTCAGGTATAATAATATATATTATATAATATATTAAGTAATATTAAGTATATAATTAGTTAGATATAATATATAACTAATATATAACAAATATTTTATTTATATATTAGTCTATATTTGTATTTCCTTGTCTATTCCACGCTTTCTTTTTAAAGTGAAGTTTTTAGTTTTAAATTATTCTATATGCACGTTAATAAATTTTTAACCTTTTTAACCTGGTATATGATTGTATCAATATTCTTTTATTTTTTTTATTCTATTTTTTATTTAGTTCTTATTTTTTTAATAATTTTTTTCTTTATTCTCGAGTCAATTATTTATTTTTTTAGTTTACCGTCTTCGAATGATTTTTAGTTTACAGTCTTCGAATGATTAGGAGTTGGATTTTCATTGATTAGGAATTAGATTTTTAATATCACTAACTATTTTTTTTTTTATTTTCTATTCGTGCATAATGATTATTTTAATATTGTTAATTTTAATATTGTTGTTAATTTTAATATTGTTAATATTGTATTATTTATTATATTGTATGATTTATTCATTACTATATTTTTAGTTATTACTATATTTTGTATTTATTACTATATTTCATTATTTATTTCTTATTTTATTAATTATTTATTATTTTCGTGTCGGTTCTATATATATTTATAAATTATATTTATTTATTATTTATGTATTATCACAGTTATAGATATTTATTTAAATTATATTTATATATTAAATATATTAAAATATTAAATTATATTTATATTTTATATATTAAATATATTAAAATATGAAATTATATTTATATATTAAATATATTAAAATATGAAATTATATTTAAATAAATATCTATAAATAATATAATAATAAAATAAACTAATAAAATAAACAAATAAATAATAAATAAATAATTAAAATAAACTAATAAAATAAACAAATAAATAAGAAATAAATAATAAATAAATAATACAATAATAAAAAAAACAAAGCAAATCGTATTTATTCTATTAATTCTATAATTTGAATTTGATCCGATCAAAATAGGATTTTAGAAAAGGATAGGATAGGATTATTTTTAGAAATAAGGAATAAAGAAATGATGGATAAATACAAGCGATCTTTTCGTAGGCGTTTGCCCCCGATCCAATCGGGGGATCGAATTGATTATAGAAACATGAGTTTAATTAGTCGATTTATTAGTGAACAAGGAAAAATCTTATCTAGGCGAGTAAATAGATTGACTTTAAAACAACAACGATTAATTACTATTGCTATAAAACAAGCTCGTATTTTATCTTCGTTACCCTTTATTAATAATGAGAAACGATTTGAAAGAAGGGAGTCGACCGCTAGAACTAGAACCAGAAATGAGAAACGATTTGAAAGAAGAGAGTCGACCGCTAGAACTACTGCTCTTAGAACCAGAAATAAATAGGCTTACCCTTCAATTGACTCAAAATTATCAAACGTAGACTGATGCTTTATTCAAAAAATCTGATAATCAAAATTGTCGTGTCGTAAGAAAAAAGAAATAAATAAAAGAATCGAATCGGGTTGGGGAAGAAAAATAAATTTTTTTTTTTTTATTGAGCGTCTTCGCTCATCTTGTTTTCTTGTTTTGATGACCTTATCAGAATTTTTTTATCATATTAATTTCTACTCTACCTCCCTCGAGTTCATTCTCGAGGGAACCCCATTTCATTTAAAGCATTTCGGTGGATTCCTTCCGATCTCCTTATTTTATAATCTCGTTGGAAATCATATAAAGACAATTCCTATTTGAGATAGCTATTTGTGCAAGTATTTTACGATTAAGAAGCAACTGTTTCTTGTACCGATTTTTTATTAATCTACTATAATTATAGGATACCCCCATTCCTCGAATTCCTGCATTTATTCGAGTGATCCACAAACGACGAAAATATCTTTTTTTCCTATCTCTATCCCGATCAGCCGAAACCAAAGCTCTTACTCTTTGTCTCCGAGCTATATATCCCTCTTTCATTCTGGTCATTGAATAAAAGAAATTTTGATGAATAACTAATTCTTTCTTTCAGTTATTCTTTTCTAGTCTATTAATAACAAAACGGATTCTTCCAATGTATAAAATAAAAATTCCAATGGCTTTTGCTACTATAACCGTCCCGCCCACGATTTTTCCTTTTTTCTAGGCATTTCATTTCGCCTTGAAATAAGAAATTGTATTGATACTAGGTATCAAAAAAAGCATATTAACTAAAATAAAGGAGTAAATAGAAATGGATAAATAAATAGTGGGTTCCATCGTTTCTATGGTTACTTCTTAAACGGTGAGGTCCCCTCTATACACCGGAGCTCATTCCTTCATTTAACATTTAATTGGTAACTTGTACAGTTCACACTCTTCGGCTCTACTCATAAATTTTTCAGTAATAGATCTTTCACAACGAGATCTATCTTATACAGTAACGGTATGTAATTAGGAGGATTAATTGGGTAGCTGACCCTGTTAGTCCGTTCTTTGCAAGAGTCGAAGCATAATCTTTTTGCTTTTTAAATAGGATTTTCCCCGCTTAATGGATAAGCATTTGCTACCAATGGGGAATTTTTAAAAAATTCCAAGATTGGATTTGCGCCAATGGAAACCATAAATTTCATACACAATAGAAGGATATGGTAGATCTATCTTTTTTAGATAGTGAACGGAAGAACCCCATTCTATTCACTGGTACTGATCGTTGATACTGAAAAATTGTTTCCTTTTTCTCAGCCCATGATCTGAACAAGTCGCACATACACCCTAGTACATCTTCCTCGGCGCTGAGGACATCCCCGAAGAGCAGGGGCTTTCGTGACATTTCTAATTGGCTGTCTTGCATTTCTAATAAGTTGTTTAATAGTTGGCATGCTGAATCATATACAATCATATACATAATAGACTGGTTTAGATCGATCCTAACCAGATGATTATGAATTACTTCTTTTTCTCTTTAATAGATTAATAAAATATTAATCTATTAAAGAGAAAAAGAAGGAAAGGAATAAGAGGGATTAAATCAATCTAAATCAAAATTAAATGGTGTTCCATTGTCGTCAAATGGTGGTCTTCCATTGCCATTGTCGTCAAATGGTGGTCTTCCATTGCCATTGTCGTCAAATGGTGGTCTTCCATTGCCATTGTCGTCAAATGGTGGTCTTCCATTGCCATTGTCGTCAAATGGTGGTCTTCCATTGCCATTGTCGTCAAATGGTGGTCTTCCATTGCCATTGTCGTCAATGGTGGTCTTCCATTGCCATTGTCGTCAAATGGTGGTCTTCCATTGCCATTGTCGTCAAATGGTGGTCTTCCATTGCCATTGTCGTCAAATGGTGGTCTTCCATTGCCATTGTCGTCAAATGGTGGTCTTCCATTGCCATTGTCGTTAACTAGTCTCCATTTTTTATTCACTATAGGTTTGTTATTCACTATAGGTTTGTTATTCACTATAGGTTTGTTATTCACTATAGGTTTTTCATTCACTATAGGTTTTTCATTCACTATAGGTTTTTCATTCACTATAGGTTTTTCATTCACTATAGGTTTGTTATTCACTATAGGTTTTTCATTCACTATAGGTTTTTCATTCACTATAGGTTTTTCATTCACTATAGGTTTTTCATTCACTATAGGTCTCGATTCTGTACGCACTATATGATCCACAATTCCATGATCTTTGGCTTCTTTTGCTGACATAAAATTATCTCTTTCCATGTCTTTGTTTATAACCCATCGGGGCTGGCCCGTTCTTTGTACATAAGCCTCTATGATGTCTTCTTGCATTTTCATTACTTCGTCTGTTTCCATGACCCAGTCTTTGAAGCCATCATCCTTAAGCATACTAATAGGTTGATGGATCATTACCCTGATGATATAACATACTTCTAACTCACATAATGAGGCGAGAAGAATAGCTATAGAATTGAACAACCGTACAGGCATTTTTTGCGCATTGCATACGGCTTTACAATTGCATACGGCTTTACAATGGAATTCTCTTTTTTCTTTCATCGAAAAAAAGAGAAAATATAGAGTCTATTAGACCCAGATTAATAAATAATCCAATTACCATCCTTCTTTTTCTTTTTTTTTCGGAAAAGTTTAAAAATACTATGATGGCTCCGTTGCTTTATATATTTATTTCGTCTGTGATTCAGCAATCCCAAAGTTTCTTTTTTTTTTTTCAAAAAAAAAAGAAAGAAAAAAAATAGTCTTTTTTTTTTTCGTACTCTTTCATAACATAAATATTGTTAATAGCCTCTGGTAGGAAAAGAAAAAAAGTTTGTGACGCCTGAGATGGGCCCACGATAGCTAAGATCAAATTGGAAATGCCCCTTCTCTCATACTACTCTTTCGATACATAATCTAATATTTTTTTTTGAAAAAAAAAAAAAGAAATAAAAAAAAAATTTCATATCGAATTCAAAGTGCCATGCTATTATTACTTACTAATTCATATTTCATATGGCGAAGGCATAGTCTTCTTTTTTCTTTCCATCAATAATAAAAAAAAAAAACTCATTGGCGCCGAGCGTGAGGGAATGCTCTGCGTTTGGTAATTTCTCCTCCGACCAAGAGAAAAGCTGCGATTGAAGCGGTCAATCCCATGGCTAGTGTATGCACATCTGGTTCCACTGCTTGCATAGTATCAAAAAGAGATAATCCAGATACTATCCCTCCGCCAGGAGAGTTTATAAAAAAAAACAGGTCTCGGCTATTACTCTCTATACTGAGATAGATCATAATACCCGCAAGTTGATTCGAGGTCTGGATATCAAGCTCTTTGCCCAAAAAAAGCAATCTTTCTCGATAAATTCGGTTGATTAGGATAAAATTGTATCCCTTAGTAGCCGTACAGGCACCTTTTGATGCATACGGTTCAACAAAAATTGCGAAAAAAAATCAATGTGTAGATTCCAGCCATCCTTTGTTTTTTCTAGTCGGACCTTTCTAACTTCTAATTTCTAATGAAGGGGCTTTTTCTTACATTTTTTAAATAAAATGAAATTTAAAATTAAATTAAAGAAAGATGAGTTTTGGCCCGTTTTCCTATAATATAGAAAAAATTCGCTAAACTTATTGCACAAACTTTTCATTGATCCATTTTTTTTTCATTGCGATTCAATCCAAATCACGATGTCATTTTCTTGTTCCTGAATGGGGTTCGTCAATTTTTTATTCAATTTTTTTAGGTTTATGCTCTACTCCGAGTAAAGATCTGCCCGATTTTTATTTGCACATATAGGACAAATGACCCAATACCACGTCTTTTTGCTATGATTTCATTTCCTTTTTTTATTTTAATTTAATTCCTTTTTCTTTCATGTTTTTCGCCAAATATTCAACGTATTTCCCATATTATTCGATTGATTAACAGTTTGAAATCGCTCTTATTTATAATTAAAAAAAAAAAGAAAAATTATGATTATGATATAGGTGGTAATCATAAATATATTACCAATTGGGTTTTTTCTAAACGGAGCCTGGATACTTCATTTTATCAGTCCAACCAAGCCAACCATAAATCATTCTAATTGAAAATATTAATCTGGATACACCCCCATGAAATGGATCTCTAATTGCACTTCATTACACTTCCCGCTACAAATTTTTGATAATTCAATCAATCTTTTTGGGGCGAAACAGGGGATATCTCGATCGGGCGAGAGAACGGGGGAATCCCATATGACCCAATATATTTGACAAGTCGCACTATATGTCAACCCAGCTTGCATCGTTATCTCCCGGAACTTGAAAAGGAACTTTTGGAATACCAACAGGCATAAAGTAAAAAGAATGTAAAATTATATTTCGCTTTGATTGTGGAAGCGTAATACGTAATGTAATACGTAATAATGGTCTTATCTTAATAATATGTAATATTATATTTCACTTTGATTGTGGAAGCGTAATACGTAATGTAATACGTAATAATGGTCTTATCTTAATAATATGTAATATTATAATATGTAATATTATATTTCACTTTGATTGTGGAAGCGTAATACGTAATGTAATACGTAATAATGGTCTTATCTTAATAATATGTAATATTATAATATGTAATATTATATTTCACTTTGATTGTGGAAGCGTAATACGTAATGTAATACGTAATAATGGTCTTATCTTAATAATATGTAATAATGGTCTTAATAATATGGGCCTTTATCATATTTTATACATAGATAGACTAAGGCCATAAAATAAAGAAAGGCGGAATGAATGAAAGAGAATTCTTACGAATAGGTCCTTTGAATGATGAACAAATAGGGATGCATTCATTCATAAAAAATAGGATCAACCCCCATTGCGTATTGATACTTATCGAGTATAGAATAGATCTGCTTCTCTTTTTTCTTCTGAGCCGAATTCTTCCCTTATTACTAATGGAATAGAACAAACATTAATCCTTTCTCCGAAAGAATCCACCGAAAAGGGGAGGTATTCCAATGCAATAAAGTTACATAGTGTCTATTTTTCGTTGATTTGATAAAGGGGTATTTCCATGGGTTTGCCTTGGTATCGTGTTCATACTGTCGTATTGAATGATCCCGGTCGCTTGCTTTCTGTTCATATAATGCATACAGCTCTGGTTGCTGGTTGGGCCGGTTCAATGGCTCTATATGAATTAGCTGTTTTTGATCCCTCCGATCCCGTTCTTGATCCAATGTGGAGACAAGGTATGTTCGTTATACCCTTCATGACTCGTTTAGGAATAACCAATTCATGGGGCGGTTGGAGTATTACGGGGCGGACTATAACAAATCCGGGTATTTGGAGTTACGAAGGTGTGGCCGGAGCACATATTGTGTTTTCTGGCTTGTGCTTCTTGGCAGCTATCTGGCATTGGGTATATTGGGATCTAGAAATTTTTTGTGATGAGCGCACAGGAAAACCCTCTTTGGATTTGCCCAAGATTTTTGGAATTCATTTATTTCTCTCAGGAGTGGCTTGCTTTGGCTTTGGCGCATTTCATGTAACAGGATTGTATGGTCCTGGAATATGGGTGTCCGACCCTTATGGACTAACCGGAAAGGTACAACCTGTAAATCCAGCGTGGGGCGTGGAAGGTTTTGATCCTTTTGTTCCGGGAGGAATAGCCTCTCATCATATTGCAGCAGGGACATTGGGCATATTAGCGGGCTTATTCCATCTTAGTGTCCGTCCGCCCCAACGTTTATACAAAGGATTACGTATGGGAAATATTGAAACCGTCCTTTCCAGTAGTATAGCTGCTGTCTTTTTTGCAGCTTTTGTTGTTACTGGAACTATGTGGTATGGTTCAGCAACTACCCCCATCGAATTATTTGGTCCTACTCGTTATCAATGGGATCAAGGATACTTCCAGCAAGAAATATATCGAAGGGTTAGTGCTGGGTTAGCCGAAAATCAAAGTTTATCAGAAGCTTGGTCTAAAATTCCTGAAAAATTAGCTTTTTATGATTACATTGGCAATAATCCGGCAAAAGGAGGATTATTCAGAGCGGGTTCAATGGACAACGGGGATGGAATAGCCGTTGGGTGGTTAGGACACCCTATCTTTAGAGATAAAGAAGGGCGTGAACTTTTTGTACGTCGTATGCCTACTTTTTTTGAAACATTTCCGGTTGTTTTGGTAGACGGAGACGGAATTGTTAGAGCGGATGTTCCTTTTAGAAGGGCAGAATCGAAGTATAGTGTCGAACAAGTAGGTGTAACTGTTGAGTTCTATGGTGGCGAACTCAATGGAGTGAGTTATAGTGATCCTGCTACTGTGAAAAAATATGCTAGACGTGCTCAATTGGGTGAAATTTTTGAATTAGATCGTGCTACTTTGAAATCCGATGGTGTTTTTCGTAGCAGTCCAAGGGGTTGGTTTACTTTTGGGCATGCTTCGTTTGCTTTGCTTTTCTTCTTCGGACACATTTGGCATGGTGCTAGAACCCTGTTCAGAGATGTTTTTGCCGGTATTGATCCAGATTTGGATGCTCAAGTGGAATTTGGAGCATTCCAAAAACTTGGAGATCCAACTACAAGAAGACAAGTAGTCTGATGCAAGATTGCTTTGTTATTTTTCGCTTCTATTTTCTGTTTGTGATTTGACATAGGCTGCTGTAAAAATCTTGATTAAAATCGCTGCCTTTTCTTTGATTCTTGTTCTTTCGTTATTTTATTCGGGAGATGATTCTAAATAAATAGGTACGGAAGCTATAATTGTAAACCACGATCGAATTTATGGAAGCATTGGTTTATACATTCCTCTTAGTATCTACTCTAGGGATAATTTTTTTCGCTATCTTTTTTCGAGAACCGCCTAAAGTTCCAACTAAAAAAATGAAATGATTTTTCATTATCTCAATTGAAGTAATGAGCCTCCCAATATTATATTGGGAGGCTCATTACTTCAATTAGTCCCCGTGTTCCTCGAATGGATCCCTTAATTGTTGAGAGGGTTGCCCAAAGGCAGTATATAAGGCGTACCCAGTAAAACTTACAAGTAAACCAGATATAGAGATGGCGACTAAAGTTGCTGTTTCCATTATTATATAATTATATAAATAATATATATAAATATAAATATAAATATAAATAATATAAATATAAATATAATTTCAAGATCACAATGGATCTATGATAAGATCGTTTATTTACAGCGGAATGATATACAAAGTCAACAGATCTCACTGAATACAAAATAAGATTTATGGCTACACAAACCGTTGAGGGTAGTTCTAGATCTGGTCCAAGACGAACTGTTGTAGGGGATTTTTTGAAACCATTGAATTCGGAATATGGTAAAGTAGCTCCTGGATGGGGAACGACTCCTTTGATGGGTGTCGCAATGGCTTTATTTTCGATATTCTTATCTATTATTTTGGAGATTTATAATTCTTCCGTTTTACTGGATGGAATTTCGCTGAATTAGATTCACAAGAACCACGAAGCCTCGCTTTTCAATACAAAAAGTGAAACTTTTAGTTCTCGGATTTTTTTTAGCCCATTCTATTTTGGTAGTTCGACCGCGAAATTTTTTTTGTTTCTGTATTTCCGGAATATGAGTGTGTGACTTGTTATAATTGATCCTATTGATAGTACAGAAAATGGGTCTGTCCTCTTGATCGAGATAGTTTTATCCCGTCGGATAGCCATTCTAGTATCTGGAGCACGGAATATATGAAATGGATCACGAAGTATTCGAACTATGATTCATACTTAATATTCAAACCTCGCGGCCGGACTCAAAAAAAAAAAAAATTTTCAAAGAAAGAGGTTTTTTATTTATAAATCGAGAAATTTTTTCTTCTTTCAAACTCTCATTTAGTTTATGCTTATTTTGATCAAAGGACAAACCTTTCTTTTCTTTGTATTTTTATTTATTATATCTATTCTATTCATTGAATAAGTGATGATCCAATAATTCTTACTCAAAGAATCTTTGGACTTAGTTTGAAGGTTTTATTGAATCATCGCGGTTCTGGTATGAATCTGAAGTTTCAATTGATTCATAGGGTCTTAACAAGAGAATTCCTATTAAAAATAAAGAAAACAAGAATAAAGCCACATTCCATATAAATAACAAATCAAAGCAAAGAAAAAGAAAAGAAATAAGTAGGTAAATAGAAGATTCAAGAGGCCTGATCAACATAAAGACGAATGCGCCGACTTGATTTTTTGGCATTATAATTACAACTACAAAAAAGAGCTTTCGGATTTTTACTCTTTTGTGTCTTCAGATAAAATTGAATGAAAAGATTAAGAAGTTTCAAACTTTCTATTCCATATCCGTTTCAGCTATTATTTGGGTGTTTTTGTTTGAGCTGTACGAGATGAAATTCTCATATACGGTTCTCAGGGGGGAGTCCTCTTGGTTTACCTATCTCAATAAAGTCTATGATTGGTTCGAAGAACGCCTCGAGATTCAGGCGATTGCAGATGATATAACTAGTAAATATGTTCCTCCTCATGTTAACATATTTTATTGTCTAGGAGGAATTACGCTTACTTGTTTTTTGGTACAAGTAGCTACAGGATTTGCTATGACTTTTTACTATCGTCCAACCGTTACTGAGGCTTTTACTTCTGTTCAATACATAATGACTGAAGCTAACTTTGGTTGGTTAATCCGATCAGTTCATCGATGGTCGGCAAGTATGATGGTCTTAATGATGATCCTGCACGTATTTCGTGTCTATCTCACTGGTGGTTTTAAAAAACCTCGCGAATTGACTTGGGTTACAGGCGTGGTTCTGGCTGTGTTGACTGCATCTTTTGGTGTAACAGGTTATTCCTTACCTTGGGACCAAATTGGTTATTGGGCAGTCAAAATCGTAACAGGCGTTCCGGAAGCTATTCCGGTAATAGGATCGCCTTTGGTAGAGTTATTGCGTGGAAGTGCTAGTGTGGGACAATCCACTTTGACCCGTTTTTATAGTTTACACACTTTTGTATTACCCCTTCTTACTGCTGTATTTATGTTAATGCATTTCCTAATGATACGTAAGCAAGGCATTTCTGGTCCTTTATAGAGAATATAGACCATAGCTATATTGTAACCAATCATTTATCTTATTACTTGCCAATCATTTATCTTATTACTTGGGGGAGGAACAATAGTATTTCATTGCTACAAATATGGATTGTTGAAAAAAAAAAAAAATAAGACATGTATTTGGATATTTCCTTTCAACTCCACAATATTCTATTATTTATTTGATATGACATGAATAGTTGAAGGGAATTCCCCGAAGAGAAAATGGATTATGGGAGTGTGTGACTTGAACTATTGATTGGGCCATGCAGAAATATGCCTTTATCTGCTACATTGGAATTCACAACCAAATGTGTCTTTGTTCCAACCACCGTGTAAGCCCCATACAAAGGATAGGCTGGTTCGCTTGAAGAGAATCTTTTCTATGATCAGACCTGACGATGTCGTGTATGAACAGGGCTCCGTAAGATCCAGTAGAATAAGTGATTTGGCATAATGCAAATTAGATTTTATTTATTTATTTTTATTTTTTTTTTACTTTCTTATCTTAATAGTATGAAAATACATTCATTTCTTCTGCATCGACCCGATTTATTATTATTATACTATCGGAGTGAAACAAGGGATCTAAAGAAGAGCAAAGGCTAGACTATATTAGTAACAAGTAAATCCTTTGTATGTAAAAAATCTCGATATATTTTTGGGATAAAGGTGAATCGCAAGGCCTAAGACGACCCAGAAAGCACTTGATCACGATCAACTTTGTACGCCTACTTGGGTATTGAGCATTTACCTGTAAAAATGGCATTCCTTGGAATGTATAGTTGCAACTTCGTAAAATGGAATCAGGTAACTTTTTTCTTACATATGAAATCATTCATATATGTGTGGATAACATATAGATTCATTTTATATGTATCCGTTTGTATCCATTTGATTCGATTGATTTTTGCTTGAGCCGGATGATGAAAAATTATCATGTCCGGTTCCTTCGGGGGATGGATCTAGAAAAATTCACCTATCCTAATAACAAAAA